AAGACATCTTATGTTTGTCACATTAATTTTGGCCTTTATTGGCAACTGAGTTTGAAGTTATTTAGGTTGCTCAAGTGTTGGTTGCTCAACAACAACAACGTGCTTTGGCTGCAGCAGCTGCGGCACAGCAGAATATTACCCAAACTGCCAATCCTTTGCTTCAAACAAACGTGCTTCAAAATTTTGCACAAAATTTATTAGCTAACGGAATTAACAATCAACAAGCGCAACAGAATTTCTTTTGTATTTTCTGTATGAAACATTTCAACAGCCAAGCTTCATTTACTCTTCATCTTAGTGTTGTACATTTTCGAAATGGGGTTTTGAATCCCTTACCCCAGAATGTAACATCGAATTCGGAATCTGCTGAGACTGATGTGAGTTGTAATTATTTTTAAATTTGTCCAAAGTGAAACTGGACTTTTAGGATGGCTTTTAATCTGCTGTAATTTAGGTCAACTTTAACAATCCTTCGCTGTTGTCACCTTCATTGTTTGGTCCTCCAGCAGCCTTGAAAACGTCGTCCGAAGAGTCTATGAACGTACATTCAGATACTGCAACAAATTCATCTTGCGCTTCGAGGTAAATTGCTGAGATCATCAAAGGCTGTCGTTAACTAGTTAAGTGTTAGCGGAAGTTGTAACGTATTTTCAAATTTCCAGCCCACAAAAAGTATCACCAGTACAGAAGGTACCGCCAGCTCCTGATACTATGTCGCCAATTTTATCTGATTCAGACCAGTTGTCTGGCGGTTCGGCAACTCCAGATAATGCAGGTCATAAGAATTGCGAACAGTGTGAGTCAAACAGGGTTCGAGTTGCTGAGTTGGAACAGGCGCTTGCTGCGAAACATGCAGAACTGAAAAGCACTCGTGAACTTATGCGTAGGATTAGCGCGATAGCTGGCTCATTATTAGAATCTTGTACGGACTTTGATAAACAGTGGGTTTCCCATAGTAGAAAGGTATATTCACAAATCCAGTCAGTTATTTGTAACATGGAATGATGAGGAATTTTGTTGTTTTATTCAAGTTGGATTTTTTTCTACCTTGCTTGACGTTGTTACAAATTGCGTAAGTTTCCAAGGGCTTATGGGCTATATTGAAGATCTTAGGTTGTTAAGCATTTGTTTGTTTTTTTTTTATTTAGATTTATGAAACGTTTGTTTTTATGGCAATTTTAGGTGCATCTTTCATTCTTAATTTTGCAAGTTTATTTTGCAAGGATGTCTTTTTGAAAATGAGTTATGGAAATTGGTCATAACTGGAAATGATTTTTTTGATATTACTGTTTGATTAAATTTCTTTTCTCCTTCTTTTGTATTTTTTTTGGTTATTTTTACTCCTTTTTTCTTAACTTTTTTATTGGAGAGTTATTATTTTCACACTTTTATTGCGACTGTTTTTATTCATTTGTCAGATTTTGTTACATTTTTGGCCAGGAAGTAGGAAACGACATTTATTTCTGCTGCATCGTTTCACAGTGTACTGATGATGACAGTCCGTTTTGTTTTACGTAGTATTTTCCAACTTCTAGGTAATTGTATATGGGAAGCCGGTTTGGTTGTTTAAGAGTTTTGTGACGGTTTCCCGACAAAAGTCGTGACAAAACTAAAAATCCAAAAAAAAAAAAAAAAAAAAAAAAAAAAAAAA